CAGTTGTGCCGCAGGCTGTTGAACAAGTTGCAACTCCTAGCTCGCCACCCACTCACTATGGTGATGGGCACCTAAGGAACAATTGAGCAAGAGAGTACAATGTCTTTTTAAATCTTTTTTCCCCTCCTGCTTCAGGCCTAGACCTGAATTGCAGTCTTTGCCCGAGAGGCAAAAGGCTTCATGCCTCCCCGTGGGCTGAGCCAAGCCTTTGGTGTTGAGGTGAGTTATAGATTTGGATGGAAGCACTGAGGCAGAATGCCGGCCCCTGACTTAGTTCCTGTGCACCCAACCCGTCTCTGCCCGCCCTTTGAGTGCCCTACTGTCTCCAGACAAAATGCATCTCTGAACATCACCACCTTCTCCTTTTTTCCCCTGTTTCATTTTTTTTAGCAAGAGAGCAGCTTGGAGCGGCTTTCTGGTTCCATGGGATTCGTAGGAGTGTTTGAGGCATGCCAAGAAATACGCCAAACACACACGAATAGATTAATGTCTCCTCTCACTGCTCTGTAAATTGATGAAAGCAGCCCTCGGTCCGGACTCGCGGCCAGCCCGTTGGCGGCGGTTCCACTGGAGCCCGGGCCCGCAGCGCCGCGCTGTGCCCGGCAGGGGGCGGCCGCGGCCCGGCAATGCTGCGCCTGTGGCGGCGGCGGGCCCGGGCAGCGGCCTCGGCCGGAGCTGGGCCGGCGAGTGGGCTGCCCGCACTGCCAGCCATCTCTCCTCCTCCGCCGCGCCGTACCGGGCCTTCCCGTCCGGCCGTCTCCGTATGCGTTTTAGCAAGCTGCCATGGGTGCTTCCCTTTTCCTTAGCTGTGCTGCCCGCCCTGACACCTCCCCGGGCCGCACGAGAGAACCTCCGAGCCTGCACAGTGAGCCTCGGCTGTGGCGCGGGGCAGGACGCAAGTGTGTCTGGAGCTCTCATGAGCTGTAGACATTAAAAGATTTCAAGGACATTTCTGCCCATTCATCCCAGTTATGTCCTCTGCTAAAATAGGTTAACGGTGTCTAATTAACCACTGCACATTGTCATGCTGCATAAAGATAGCATCCTGGCTGTTCTCTGAGCCCTGCCACTTTATCTCCATTTAGATCTCCGTGGTAGTCCATTAAATGAGAAAGAAACAGTTTAACAGAGATGATGTCTACGTTGGAACTGCCTTTCACCCTTCAGCATAGAAGTTCCAGGCAGCTCAGCTGTGCATCAGGGAGGTGTGTGGGAGTAAAGTCTCAAGTTTGAGGTTTAACCCCTTCTCATTAATGCGGATGAAGGATTCCTGCTGGGCAGAAATAAGTAAAGATTACACTCAGGAGTGAGATCAGATCTATATCATCTGCTCCAGGCAGAGCTAGGAAAGAAATAGGTATTCTGTACTAGGAGTAACATGCCATGGAGTTACACAAGGACTGTCAGGGTCTTTCACTCGGTTTCACAGCCATGCAGCACCCTGAAACAGAGGAGGTAAGCAGCTGGCCAAAGCCAGAGGGAATATTCTGGGATTATGGTTATGTTGGAGAGCACTGATGTCCTCTCAGGGAAAGGCACTTTAAAGAGAACTGTCCAGGTGATGGAGTGAGTCCATGCTCTTTGCCCCTCCGGATGCAGTGGACTTAGGAGCATAAGGGAAAAAACCAGATGTATCCCTGTCTCAAAAAAAAAATAACAAAACGGGGAGTGGCTGGTGTATAAAACAGCAGACTGAATGCATTTCTGAGCACTGCTTCTGGGATTGTATTGTTTTGTTTGTCCTTACTTGAGTGACTGCATCTGTAGTTCATATTTAATTGCTCGTTTTGTAGGTCCTTGTTGCTGCCCTCCCTGGGCTGTGCCTGCTGCTGCAGCAGACAAAGCAGGGCATTGCACTTCATGTTGCTGCGAACATGAGAGAAGAGTAGGAAAGTTGTGTATGCTGGCTTGAGTTTAATCAGTTTTTTTCCATTTCTGCTTTAACTTACCACTAGAAAGAAAGCTCATGAGGGGAATGAAGAGGGTGCTGTGTACTCAGACCTGATACTCCTGAACGGAGAAATGTTGGTCTCAATGTATTGCAATTGACATTGGTAAGCTGAGACTATTCTTAGGAAGGGGTACTCCACAGTCTTTAAAGCAATGTGATAACATCATGAAGAAATCCTATGAGGCTTCCCATAATACATGGAGAGCAAAGAGACAAGCAGGTGATTGACTCTGCAGGAATATTTTCTCCATGTATAGCTTAGCCTCAGCTAAGTTTATGGAATGGACAGAATTGGAGCTGGGGCACCCTTTGAAAATCTATTAATGATTTCTCTTGCTGCCTTGAAGATTTTTTACCTTAGGACACAAGACAAAGCTTGTCTTTTCTTTCAGAGTTACTTTGTTACATAGATTTAGGTAATTTTTAGGCAATTTAGCCAAAAAGCAAAAGACTAGTCAAACCAAAAATGGTTTGTGATTTTTTTTTCCCCAATCTGAAACAAGGACTGAAAAAGTAATTTAGCACCAAACAAAATGAAAGGAATCCTTATAAAAATGGAAGAAATAGTAGGTTGCCTGATATCTTCTTTGCTTAATAGCTCAGTCATWAAGGCCACAGGGAATATAAAATATACAATTCCTTCTATGCTACAGAAGCTTCATACTGTATTTTTGGGATAGTTTTATACATGTGTGGTCATCAGCTGGCTTCAAATGCCAGTTTCATCAAATARTGCTATTCCAAATCATATTTTAGAAAGCACATGACTGGAACCAGATGTCTTCCGTAAACAGAGGAGCAGTCATTCCTGGCTCCTGCTCCAGTGCCTTTGGTGTATAAATGCTTTGTRTAAGCCACAGAACTGTCAACATGAGAGACTTGTCTCACCCACTACCACCATTGGGACCTGTGRCATAGGGACTCATGTTCTCCTGGGGGCCTTGGCCATGGATCTGTAACTTGCCTTGGAATGAGGAAGGAACAGTCTTGTTTGACAGGAGAGTTCTAACACCTGGGCTCTGGGATTAAAGGGGCCAGTACTATTCCCTGCTCCCTGCCAATGAGTTTGTTCCCCAAATTAGTTTATTTTCCAATATATAGTGTAGCTGTTTCATAGTCAACTATTTGCTTATTGTCCTGAATAAGTCCTTTCCTAACAACAAGGAAAAGCCGAGAAAGCTGAATTCTCAGAACATGAGCAAAGCARTCTCTGCCTCTAGGACTAACATGACTGCCTTCCCTATGGGCCACCTTGATATCAGTCATGACAGGGAGCTTAGGAAAAAGGAACAGAAATTGCTTACAGGGATAGCAGGAGTGACCTCTTCTCCTGGGAAGCATAAATATGTGGAGTGTTTCATTCCTGCCTGGAGACAGGAGCAAAGATGTAAGGAGTGTGAGGACTGAGGAAGAGAGTGTTATTTGGGGTTGAACAATCATCAAGAGTAACAGAATCATGCCAAGAAGATGTAAAATTGAACCCCCAGGAAATCATCATCTCATGCAAGGCTGTGCAACACCATCATTTGGGATGTTTCAGCTCAGAGAGGGCAAGGCTATGTGGGAACCAGTTTTGGGAAGGCATAAAGGAAGAATAAAATAGGATAAATCTTGCATCATCTTTCCACCTCTGTCTTCTCAGAGTCTAAACTCCCCTGAGCACTGGTGGGATGCTCTCTGAAGCCATCTGTTTCTTTCTCCATAGTATCAGGGAGTTCACARAAGTGCTTTGTAGTACCACTGGGGAGAAGAAAGGAGCTGGACAGTTCATCCACACTGGAAGAGCTCTTTCCTAAACTCCACAGTTGCATTTCTGCCGCAGAACAGAGGGTACAGATACAGCTGAAAGTCCAGATGCAGATGTCAGCACACAGCTGCAGTTCTGATCATAGCAGCTGATATTACTGGGCTCAGATCACTGATTAGGTGTAATCTTCAGCTTCTCACAGATTGCAAACTCCAGAGAGARCAGTAGAGACAAAGGACTTACTTCTCCTTGTACCTCTTCTCTGTATAGCTAGACATCCTCTGTGCCCTACTCCTTGCTCCTAGAAGAATAGATTATTCATGGGAGAGCTAGAGGAAGACTGTGCCTTGCCAGAAGAGAGAACAGATGAGGAGAGACCTGTGCCATGTCATAAAGTGCTTTAAAAGGATTAGTGCAAGGCAGTGAAGCAACTTTTCTTACATCTTGGTGTGTCCTGGGACAGTGCATGTGATAGGGGAGAGCCCCATATATTCTTTGTCATGGCACCCTGACTTCAGAGGAGGGGAGAATATTTATTCCCAATGCATAGACATGAAACTTCACTCTGCAAAATGGCCAAAGCAATCAGTGAGTGATGGAGTATCTGCTAAAAAGAAACCTGGCATTTAATTAACTTTTCAAAGTGCTGGTTCAGCAATCTCCATGTTTTACATTTTGAATATTGAACAAGCGTCCCTAATCGGGACTGAATTACTTCTGGGCATGCTGGGGTGGAGAGCAAGGGAGCTGCCATTTGCCAGTGCCTCGCCCCTCTGTTATTATTATGAACTCCTGTTAACTCAGCCAGATCAATGCTGATTTTCTGCAGTGGCTGCATGTCTGACCTGAATTTGGCCAGTTCAGGTGGGACTCCTGAAAGGCAACYGGGAAATCTTTATGCACAGCCAGGGAGAGTAAGAGCCTGTTGATTTCTCAGGGGTAGGTAAAGCATAGCACCTTCTTCACTCCTTAATGTGCAAACCTCTCTACTCAGATAAGGCTAACTTTACCTGCAGCTGATGGCAAAAGCGATAAAAAAGTATCTGAGAAACTGAAAAAACAGGGAGTATGGTTCTTGCCATATCTGGGCATGGCTGTCTCTTGGGACCCAAGTGGTTTTGTTTCAATCTGTGGCACTCAGGGACTTTTCGATACACTGGTCACTCACAACTCTTTCAGGTGTGATGTGTTGTATCAGACTTGGTGCAGAAACTGTTTTGCACAGTAACAATTATATAGGGAAAGGTGAAGTTTCKAATTTTCTCTAGCGTTTTCTAAATGTAAGCCTTCCTTATCTTGCAGGTCAGGAAGAAAGCATGCAGAAGAAGTGGAAGAGTAAGTTCCCATTGTTGCTGAGACTCTTCYCCCAACTTTTATATGCGATCTTGTGAAGATGGGACATATGCCTCTGAACACCAGTACACCAATTTCTGAAAGCTGGGAAGGATGTGTCCTGGAATGGGTCAGGGCTGGTCATTCTATAGTTCCCTGTATATGGAGTACATGACGGCTCTGTCACTCTCATAAAACAGAAAGAAGTAAAATTAGAAGGCAATTACTTTCCTCCCAGGCCCTGCTGTCTGCAGCCTAGGGATTTATCTTAGGTACATCTTGGTTAAGCTGAGATTTCTGCTGATGAGGATRTGGAAGATCAGTCTGCAGGCTAAGCATACTTGGAAACTCTCTCCTTTGCAGTCTGTGAGGCTTGTGGGGAGGAAGGGGGCACAACAAGATGTTTYTCTGGGTTTGCAATTGAAATTCTTTCTTGTGCTTTGCTGCAGCCATCGTCTCAGACAGCAGAGCCTGGAGGCATCAGATGATGGAGGAGGTAAGGTATCACCTACTTGTCTGCAAGAAGTGCCTTCATGCATATCTGGGGGCTCTCCAGTGAAGTGAGCAGAGTCATCTTGTAAGAAATTGTGAAGAAATGAACCACTCTGGGGGTAAACAAATGTGGGGGCTGCTTAAGTCCCCCCAGATAAATAAGGGAGGGAGAGTAAAGGAGATGGAGAGGGAGGATGAGGAAATGAACCTATAGTCTAACTGGCTCTTCATGAACACAGGATTATAGAGGACCCTTGGAAAGGAGGAAAGTGCCAACGACACACTTCTCCCTGTAATTACCTCCATGGAGAATAGTGGACTAGGGCAAAATGAGAGCTAAAAGCACAATAAAAAGAGTGGGGAAAGTAGTCACTGCTCTGCCTTGGTTTAGGTGATAGTATGCTTAAAGCATCGGTCATCTTCTATGGTAATATCCTTATCTAGTTCCCTACAAGTGCCTGCACCACTCTCCTGGGGTCTCTGTTGTGATGGAATTCTTAATTTAAAAAATCTGCTTGCCCTAACCCAAGATCATAGATCATAAGCTAAACATAAACAGTGGTGGGTAATCCCATCCCACCCCATCCCATCCCGCCCCGCCCCGTCCCGTCCCGTCCTGTCCTGTCCCGTCCCATCCCGTCCCATCCCTGTATAGGCTGCTATGAAATCTACTGGACTTCTGACTTAGCAATAGATTTCTTTGTAGTGTATATTATCAGCTCTTCTAGGACTGAATGAGTCAAGAGAAATCTCAGGAAAAATTCATGCATAGATTTCAATTCATCTTGMTATTCAAGTATGAATTTCAAGATGAGTACTAGGCAACTGTGGGGAGCATAGAAATTCATTAAAGCCTCTAGGAGGTACCTCAGTTTTYAAGGGCTAAGAATTTTATACCATGTATAAAACATTGCATCTGTAAAATATCACCAAGCATCAGAAGAATTATCTGGAGTCACAAAGGATCAGACATCAGTATGGTTAATGAGATTAAATGAAGACTTATTTGGGTCTTCCAGATAGATTAAGCATTGCAATGTATGACTGCCAGAACTGGCACCTTTATAGCATTGGCATCTTCAGAACAGACTAAATTTTCCCCCTGGGAAGTTTCTTGGGCTTCTTAAAAATCAGCATATGTCACTGAGGCTGGTAGTCTGAACAGCTCTGATTGTTTGCATACGTGCTGTCCTTTTTGTTGAACCTTGGTCATGTACTTGGAGTATGACTGTCTTTGCTAACCAGGCATAAAAATGCTTGCCACATGTTTGTTTGCAGCATGTGACTTTCAGTATTCCAAGACCTTGTGTAATAAATATAGAATAGAATTGGTGCAGGGTGTGGTATGAAGACATGTTGAATCCTAATACACTTCCCTTATTTATCTGTGCCTAACCTGTGATTAGCAGTTGAATTTGGATTGTTTGCAAACTGGAGGTTTGGCTTTGGATTAAATCTATGCATTAGAAGAAGGATCCTGCTAATGTGACACGGTTCCTACCCAGGCAGCTTCTGGTACAAATACACTGGGTTGTAAATCTAATTTGTATATGGAATATCTCTAAACGGATTGGTACATTGCATAGTTGTGGTCCTATTTCAACAAGGAGATTACCCAAACTATTCTGGGAAAGGAGTGTTCCATGTGGGCTCAGCAACTGCAGTGAAGAAAAGTGACATATAAAAAAACTACAGAACTTGAATAAAATGACTTTTTTAATAAGCAGAGAGGTACAAATAACTACCCAGTGCAGAAGGCAGGGAGTAGCATGCAGCGGCTGTGGCTGTGCAGTAAATTGAACTGTATCAGGCTCCCCTTTGCACAAAAGTGCATTTGAGTTTATGTTCGTAACTGTAACAGTAGAGCTCAGATTCTAAATGTACAAAARTCAAGACATTGGTGTATGGATCCCCAAGGATGGGTCACGGTTATTTTGTGCTGCATAATGTGTTAGCTTGTACACCTTAATATGAACAGGTGCGGTTGTGTAATGATTGCTGCTGTCAACCAATACATTTGGATCGCCTTCCTTTAACATATTAGAAAGCTGAGCTGTACCATTCCATTAACATTGTTCGTCCCCCATCCCACCTTTTCATTAGAAGAATGAAGGACAAAACTATATGCCCTTAAAAAAGTGTTCTTGTGAATTTGAAATGTACTCAGTTGTGATTGTTTATACATTACTAACACCTGGAGGGTCAGAGTTTGGAGTCCATTTGAGAAARTGTTAAAAAAGCATAGGGTCTGCAGAGAACCCAGTTCAGCTTGTGGAGAATGGAGGACAGTTTCTACAGCCAAGTGGAGACTTTCAGGCTTGATATGCCTTGTAGTTTCARAAATAAAAGTAGAATTCTTTCACTGTTCCTGTCCCATGTATGAAATAGCATCTGATTCYTTATCTCTATGGGAGTTTGGGAGAGAAGGACAGACACTTCTCAGCCTGTGTAGAATGACGGAAACAGTATGAGAGAGGGTAAGTGGGTGGACCAGACAGGACCATTCATAGAATTAYCTGGATTTTAGGCCATTCATTACTTCCACCTTCTGAGGGAAACCCAGAAGGTGGAAGTTGTCCATACTGCACAATACATACCCTGAAGATACCAGTGGTGARGTGCTTTGGCTCAGATCATGTTTAGAATTCATTTTCTCCATTTCATATTTCTCTAGAGGTTAGTCCAAGACAAGACAGCCCCAATAAAAAGGTGCCAGTATTGACTTATAGGACAGCAAAGACTTATGTTTGACTAAGAGCACCATTTGCTCCRTTTTCTCCAAGCTGGGAAAAGAGTTTTGAAAAAGTGCAGTGTCTCTCCAAAAATAGCTCTGGAGCATCTGGTTGATGTCTAGGTTGATTCCTACAGCACCCGCTGTGATCTTAGTGCCCACCCTCCTGAACACACGCTGGTACTCATGAGTAGTCAGRCATCGYAAATGGATAACGCCTTTGTTACTGGGGAGGTGCTCACTGGACCTTATCATGGGAGGCCAGGTCCTCTGCATGGTGAGAAACCTGCTTTAGCAGGATTTAATGCATCACACTTGAGGAATAATAAACCTTCACAAGCAACACAAAAGTGTTTAATTCCTAAAGGACAGGCCTAGTTAAGTCACTTTTGGCCAGGGGCAATTGGGGGCTTAGTGCTTTGTATGTAGCAATCTGGGCAATCTGAGAGAGAGGAGTTTAAGGGTAATTGTTCAATTTTCTGTCCATGTCAACAGGGAAAATGAGCAGCAGTGACTGAACTCWGTATGGCAGGGAAGCTGCGTGAGATGGGAGATGTGAGACTATCTGTAAAATTTAAAAGGTGCTATCTGCAGAGCACTGCTTCCTTTTCTGTAGGAGCCAAGGATAGTCTGCCATGTGCAGAGCTCATGAGGTGGGAGGGAAGATGGGACAACCAAGCTGAAGCTGAAGGGCTTTCCCCTCCCTTTTCTCCTCTCTCTAGCAGGGCATAGAGGGCTTTATTCTGCTYGTGAGTTTCTTTCTGGCATACAGGTGAATAGGGCTGTTTCCTGTTGGGGTGAGAAATGTTAACATTCCTCCCACACCTCAGTAATCTGCTTTGTCCTTTGGCTAGAAGTTTCTTTGTTGTTCCTTTCTTGTCTACCAGTTCTGCAATGCTGTGTTGTATTCTCTCCGATGTCTTTCTCCTCACTACTTTGCCCTTGGATTTTTCTCCTCAGCACTTTGTGGTAACTTATTAGCTAAGGTTGTAATCTCTCTCCCAGCTATTCCCACACAGACTATTGCCCCGTCATCAGAAGTCCCTTTCTGCATTCTCTCTCTTACCATTGTGATGCATAGCTCTTTAAACAGGGCTTTTCTTGGAAAAGTGGGATGTAATGTCTGATTTTCTGTCTGCAGGAACAACAGCTTGTTATTTTAAAGCAGGTAGTGTGTGTGAATGAGACAGCTGATTGAAATGAAAGCCTGACTATGCTACACAGACAACTCAAACCTGACCTGCAGGTGAGGAAAGCTGCCAGGAGACAGTCACTAGATCTGTGCCCTCAAGGCAAACCCCCTTCSTGCCTGCTGAGAGGCCTTCTCAAGGAAGCAGAGCTGATGATTAGACCTCTCTATGCAATGTCAAACCTCTAGAAGGACTTCCTACCCTTCTGGCRTGTGCCAACAGCTCCTTTGCATTTGAACAGGATGAGAGTCCAGACTCTGTGAACAGAAGAGGAGGATGTGAGCATATGCTATGGTCTCCAATCCTTCTGGGTAGTGATATGTGTCAGGTGGGAGATCTGTAATTCACAATCATAAAATATCCAACACCTCTTGAGCTGCATGCAGATATGTGGCAATGATGATATTGCTCCAAATGGAGCTGAGTTAGGGTCATTGTTGCCTCTGTCAATCCTGATCAATTTACCATTTGCTTCCCTGGTGAGCTGCTTTTACAGAGCATACCAAGTGCTGGTGAATTCCAGAGGTCATGAGCTGCAAGGACAGCTGCATTGGCTGAGCATGAGGATAAGAGAGGGCAGAATTTGCAGGAACAGTCAGGGATATGGCCAGTGGGAACTTCATAGGCTCAGAAGGTGGTGTTGGAGTGATTTGGGGAAAGCTAAATGGATGGAAACTTCTGAGCATCAGTGAAAAGGAGACAGAGAGAAGGACATGGTGTTTTGGAAGTGGTACGAGTGGGCTGAATAGAAGGATTTGGGGCAGAGAGCATTGGTGGTTGTTGGGTTTCTGGGATTCTTCATTATGACTTTGTGTGTGGCTCTGTCAGCACACCACAGTCCTCCCCTTTGCTGGTCCCTCAGTGCACTACCCTGAGTCCCTGTGCAAGGTCACTGAAGGGCAGACTCAGCCCAACCTGATAGTTTCCACTGAACTGGTGGTTCAGGTCAGTTTGAGCTCCTCCGGTGATTGCTGCCATTGTGATCTAGAGCCTCTGGTGTTGGAGGAAAGCTCTCTCCTGGCAGCCACAGTGGGCACGGGAGAGCAGAGAGTATGTCCCGAGAAATTGCCTGAAGTTCTGTTG